TGAACCCAGGACCCTTCAGTCCGCAGGCCAACGCTCTGCCCACTGAGACACACCGGCCAGGGCAAGATGTTTGCTTTTTAAAGGAGAATGCTGACGTCCAGCCGGTGTGGCTCAGTGGTTGAGTGTCTGGTTGACCTATGAACCAGGAGCTCACAGTTTGGTTCCCAGGGGGGACTCGATCCCCAGGGTGGGGCGTGCAGGAGGCAGCCGGTCCATGATTCTCTCTTGTCATGGATGCTTTTCTCTCTCTCTCTCCCTCTCCCGTCCTCTCTGACTCAGATTGTTCCGGGAGATGATGGTGGGGTGCAGTAGGGTCTTGCTTAGCCTTTCAAAGGATTTATTTTATTTTTAATCCATTTTTATTGATTTCAGAGAGGAAGGGAGAGAGAGAGAGAAGCATCCACGATGAGAGAGAATCACGGATCGGCTGCCTCCTGCAGCCTCCCACTGGGGATCGAGTCCCGTCCCCCCGTCCCCCCCCCCCATCCCCCCTGCGGGAATCGAACCCCGACCTCCTGGTTCATAGGTGGAAGTTCAGCCACTAAAGCGACGCTGGCCGGGCGGGATTTTGACTGGAATTCATGTGATTGTTTTAACGAGATCTGTGTGTGTGCTGACGTTCGGACTGCGGTTTGAAAAGACATAACGGTCCCGTCCACTGGAAGGACAGAGGCCTGTGCGGCCGCGTCCCAGGCGATCGATCCCGTGTTCTTCCCTCTTTCCCGTCTCGGCCGCGGGCGCCGGGCTGACACGGGATTTCAGAACCGTCTGGGGAAAGTCACTTTTTTCTTTTTTCTTTTTTCCCCCGTTGGTTCTGGGCCGGATCCCTGGAGGGTGTCTCCAGGCTCCTGACGATGTGGAAACCCTCCAGAGAGAGTTCGGAGCCCAGGGCTGCTTGTCACTTTGGGGTGGGTCTGCTTTTGTGTTTTGTTTCATCTGAGTCTCGTTCTGGATCATCCGGCGGCTGACGGGAGAATTGCCTTGGACCCGGCTCGGGCATCCGGGGACCCTCTCCAGACGCGAGACCCGGGCCTCCCGCCATCCGGGTGGGGGCTGCCTGCTTCCCCCGGGGTCAGGCCCCCCCCCTGTCTGGACGTGGACGCCTTCCTGGCCATCGGGCGTCGGGCTTGTAAACACGGGAGCCCTGACCCGCCCCCTGACCCCCGGGGGGAGCCGCAGTTCACACGCCAAGTGGTGGCTGAGCTGCTGTGTCAGCACCGGGAGGATTTGCGGGGATGACAGGCGGCTCTGTGAGGGACGCCCGACGGCCTCTTGAGCTCTCAGATGGGATTTTTTTCTTTTTTTTAAATGAAGGTGACTTGTTTTATTTTTGAAATATATATTTTTTATTGATTTCAGAGATGGAAGGGAGAGGGGGAGAGAGAGAGAGAGAAGCATCCATGATGAGAGAGAATCTTTGATCAGCTGCCTTCTGCACACTCCCTACTGGGGATCGGGCCCACAATCCAGGCATGTGCCCTAGACTGGGAATCGAACCCGGGACCCTTCAGTCTGCAGGCCGATGCTCTATCCACTGAGCCACATCGGCCAGGGCTCAGATGGGATTTTTGAACTGGGTCTTGAGGATCGAATAGGAGTTTGCAGGTGGGTGTTAGTGCTGTAGGAGCCGAGGTCAAGGGGCCGGTTCTGTGTGCCTGCTGTGTGAGGGCGAGGCTCTGGTCCCACGGGGTGTGGGGCAGGGTGGGCCAGAGCTCCACGCATGATGGCTTGGCCCCGTGAGCCATCCGAGGGTTCTAACATAAGACTTGGTGGCCAGGGGTAAGAGGAGGGTTTACTGCCCGGCCGGCGTGGCTCAGTGCTTGAGCATCATCCCAGGAACCAGGAGGTCAGGGTTCGATTCCCGGTCGGGGCACAGGCCCGGGTTGCGGGCTCCATCCCCAGTGTGGGGCGTGCAGGAGGCAGCCGGTCCATGATCCTCTCATCATGGACGTTTCTATTCCTGCCGACATGCTGAGCGGGTGGGTTTCGTCCCCGCCGCGCCCTCCTCCCTCTGCCGTGAGACCAGGGAGCTGGGAGCTTTGGATCTCGACTGCACCCGGGAGGTCTTGGCCGCCATGAGCACGCGGAGGGCGGGTGGGCGGTGCTGCCAGCCTCACACAGAATAACTCAGTCTCGTCACAGCACCTTCCAGTAGGTTCCTGTATTATTCACTTTCTAAAAAAATAAGTTTTTATTGATTTTTAGAGAGAGAGGAAGTGGGAGAGAGAGAGAAACATCCATGATGAGAGAGAATCACGGACCGGCCGCCTCCTGCACGCCCCGCACTGGGGATCGAGCCCGCCACCCGGGCCTGTGCCCCGACCGGGAATCAAACCCTGACCTCCTGGTTCATAGGTTGGTGCTCCAGCCACTGGGCCACATGGGCCGGGCTCAGAGGACTTGATGGTGGGACTTTTCCAAGGAGAGAGCTGGGCACGGAGGGAAGGAAGTGCCTGGGGTCCACGGGCGGAGACAGGTGGCCAGGCCTGTCTGCCCAAGGGGGCTCCTGGGTGTGGGGGACAGGCCTGTGGGAGCAGCTACCCCCCCCCCCCATGGGTCTCAGCAGCTGTCGGGGCGGATTCCTCCGCAGCCGCACGAGGGTGGCCTGGCTCTCGTCCTGCGGCCGGGCCCCTCGTGGACGGCCCCTGCACGCACAGATGTCATACCGCAGCCGTGCCCACCCAGCCTCGTGGACCCTCAACCCTGGGACATGTTTTTGTTGTTGTTGTTTTAAGGAAAAAGTAAGCCCTTTTTTATACATTTAAGGTATTTTATTTTAATTTTTTGTTGATCCTCACCTAAGAATATTTTCCATTGATTTTGAGAGAGAGTGAAAGGGGGAGGGAGAGACAGAGAGAAACATCGATGTGAGAGAGACACACATTGATGGGCTGCCTCCTGCACATGCCCCCGACCGGGCCTGGGGATCAAGCCTGCAACCAAGGTACATGCCCTTGACCGGAATCGAACCCGGGACCCTTCAGTCCAAGGACTGACACTCTAGCCACTGAGCCACACCGGCCAGGGCTGAAATATTTCTGTATTGATTTCAGAGAGGAAGGGAGAAAAATAGAGAGACACATCAATGATGAGAGAGAGCCCTAGCCAGTTTGGCTCAGTGGCTAGAGCATCGGCCTGCGGACTGAAGGGTCCCGGGTTCCGTTCCAGTCAAGGGCACAGGCCCGGGTTACAGGCTCCATCCCCAGTAGGGAGCGTGCAGGAGGCGGCCAATCCATGTTTCTCTCTCATCATTGATGTTTCTCTCTCTCCTTTTCCCTTCCTCTCAGGAATCAATAAAAAGATAATTTAAAAAAAAAATTAAAAATGCAGTGGAAAACTCAGGCCTCTGGGTTTCTGCGGGTTTTGCCGCCTGCTGCTCTCGGTCCTGCCCTCACTGCCACCCCCGCCCCCCTGCCGCCCATCTGTGTTTGGGGTTCAGGTTCCTGATAACAGGGCTTCCCGCCTCCCCGTGGCCAGCACGCCCCGGCCACATGCACGCCGGCCGGCTGCCCCCAGCGGCTGGGGTGGGAGTCAGATGCTTGCTGCGGTTTCTAGATTGTTTTATAGGAAAGGAACCCGCCGGCCGCGGCCTCGAGGGGCGGGCGCCTGTGGGCCCGGTTTCTGTCTCGGGAATAATGGGTCGGACCTGGGAGGCCTGAGGTCCGAAAGGGGTCTTGCCCCCGGCAGGGAGCGGGAGCTGACAGACGGACGGACGGGGGGCTGGGCGTTCCCTGCTGAGACGGGCTGCGTGGAGAGGAGGAGGGAGGCGGTGTTCTTGTACAAGCAGATTTTTTCATGGGGCCTGCGTCGCAGGAGACAGCGGGCGAGGCCGGTGAGGGTGGGACCCCACGAGGGGGGGCGCCCGCTTTTCCGAGCACAGACACGCGGGGAGCCCGTTCGGGGGTGGGGGGTGGGGAGGCAGGTGCCTGCAGTTGCTGGTGGTCTTCTCCCTGGGGCGGGGGTGGGAGCGGGCAAGGGAGCTGGTGGAGGACCAGACACACACACATGCGCACACACGCGCAGGTGTGTGCACATGTAGCAACACATGTGTATATGTGGAGACACATGCATGCACACGTGCGTGCGTAGACATGCATCTACATGTGAACTTACAGCTACATGCACGTATGTGACCATGTGCGCACAGGCATGCACTGTATGCACACACTCACATACATGTGTGTGCACACGTCCATGCATGTACACACATGCACCCACATGCACACATCCCTTCCTCTCTGAAATCAATAAAAACATTTTTTTAAAAATATATTTTATTGATTTTTTACAGAGAGGAAGGGAGAGGGATAGAGAGCCAGAAACATCGATGAGAGAGAAACATCGATCAGCTGCCTCCTGCACACCTCCCACTGGGGATGTGCCCGCAACCCAGGCACATGCCCTCGACCGGAATTGAACCCGGGACCCCTCAGTCCGCAGGCCGACGCTCTATCCACTGAGCCAAACCAGTTTCGGCCAATAAAAACATTTTTAAAAATATATATTTTTAAATGTCACATCCATGGAATCATACAGCATGTAGCATGTGGGATCCGGCTTATCTCACACATGCACTTAATATTCATCTGTGCTGGGTGGGTCATGGTGGGGTTTTGTTGTTTTAATGTAAATATATTTTTTATGGATTTCAGAGAGGAAGGGAGAGGGAGAGAGAGAAACATCCATGATGAGAGAGCATCATGGATCGGCTGCCTCCTGCACACCCCCCACTGGGGATGGAGCCCACAACCCGGGCCTGTGCCCTGACCAGGAATCGAACCCTGACCTCCTGGTTCCTAGGTCGACGCCCAGCCCCTGAGCCGCACCAGCCGAGCTGTTGTTTTAATTGCTAAAGCGTATTCCCCGGTGTCGGTCTTGAAATGGACATGTCTTTGAGCTGTTCTCAGCCCTTAAAGGGCCAGATGTGCGTCTGTCCCCACGAAACACCGTGGCTCTGAGCTTCACCCCGGGCGGCCGTAACCCTGCCCCTCTCTCCCCAGGCCCCCAACCGCCAGCTCATGACCTACTGGCTGCAGGAGCTGCAGCAGAAGCGCTGGGAGTACTGCAACGGCCTGGACATGGTCAAGTGGGACAGCAGGACCTCCCCCACCCCCGGGGACTGCTCCCAGGGCCTGGTGGCCAGAGGCGCCCCAGGTGAGTCACTGCCTGGCGTGGCCGCCATCTGGCCCGCCCACCAGCCTCGCGGGGAAAGTGGGCGCAGAGGTCCCGGCCCCGAGGAGCCCTGGTGCACGGCGGCTCCCCACACTCCCCGGGCTGCCACGCCAGAGCCGTATGCAGGCCTGGAATGACCTTGGGGGCCGGGCAAGGTCAGGGCCTGGCCCTCCGCCCACCTGGAGGCACAGAGCCCACGCCACGTGGGTTGGACAGAGGGGCCGAGCTCTCAGGGTGTGTATACATGAGGGCGGGGCGGGGGGGCGGTTTTCAAAGCCCCGCCTGTGACCCGGCATGTTTCCTAAGAAGATTTGTGGTTTTTTAAAATATATTTCTTTATTGATGTCAGAGAGGACGGGAGAGGGAGAGAGAGAGAGAGAGACATCCACGAGGAGAGAGAATCAGGGACCGGCTGCCTCCTGCACGCCCCACCCTGGGGATCGAGCCTGCAACCCACGCTGCGCCCCGACCGGGAATCGAACCCTGACCTCCTGGTTCAGAGGTCAACGCTCAGCCACGGAGCCCCGCCGGCCGGGCCAGTCCCTCTTTTAAGCCGAAACGCTGTGGCCTGGGAGCCCCCGGAGACATCTGAGCCCACGTGTGGTTCCCTTCGCTTGGCCTGGGGCCTGCCACGTGGGAGTTTAGAGTTTGTGCCACTGACCTTTTCTCGTCCGCTCAGCAGCGCAGGCCCCTGTGAGCGGCTTTCTCCCTCCCTCCCTCCCAGCGTCTCCAGTGGGCGGAGTGAGATGGTGTGAGGGCCCTGCGGGGTGCAGAGGCCCCAGGTGGGGGGGGGTGGGGTGGGGTGAGCCCGTCCGCGGGTGGTCGGGGCCTCTCTGAGGCGGCGGCAGCCACGCTGAGCCCTGAAGGGGGAGCAGGAGTCAGGCGGGTGCAGGGGAGGAGAGGCAGGGGTGGGAGCAGTGGGGTGAGCCGGGCTGTGGTTGGGGGAGAGCCTTGACCTCCGGGTTTGGGACTTTATCCTCAGAGCAGCGGCGTGTCTGAAGGTGCATGTGTACAAATGACCAGACGTCCGCCACCGTTTAGATCAAGAACAAATAACGAAACTGCGCCCGGCCGGCGGGGCTCAGGGGCTGAGCGTCGACCTGTGAACCAGGAGGTCAGGGTTCGATTCCCGGTCAGGGCACAGGCCCGGGTGGCAGGCTCCATCCCCAGTGGGGGGCGTGCAGGAGGCGGCCGATCCGTGGTTCTCTCTCATCATGGATGTTTCTCTCTCCCTCTCTCCCTCCCCCTTCCTCTCTGACATCAACACAAATATTTATGAGAAAAAAAAAGGGACAGAGCAGGTATAACAGCAGACTCCTCAGGCACAGCTCTGTGCGGCGCTGGGAGATGGAGACTCGGGGCTCTGGGACGTCTGCGAGCCCGTCCGTGTCCTGAGGCATTTAGTCCCGTGACCGCTGATGTCACACGTGGACGGGGATGCCGGCAGCTCCGCTTTCACTCAAAGTCGGAAAACCAGCCCTGACCGTGCGGCTCAGTGGATAGAGCGCCGGCCTGCAGACGGAAAGGTCCCGGGTTCGATCCCGGTCAAGGGCATGCACCTGGGTTGCGGGCACATCCCCGTGGGAGTGTGCAGGAGGCAGCTGATCGATGTTTCTCTCTCATGGATGTTTCTAACTCTCTATCCCTCTCCTTTCCTCTCTGTGAAAAATCAATAAAATAGATTTTTTTTTTTAAAAAGACGGAAAACCGGGCAACGATAACAACATTGCAAAAGCCGGGAAACAGCTTCTTTTCCACGTCAGATAATTGCATTGAGACCAGGCCTGTGTGGCCACCGCCCTCCCCGCCTCGGCCCTGCTCTGCTCCCCACCCCCACCCCCGCCCCCACCCCCACCCCCAGCCCCACTTCCCCAGGAAGCTGTCCGCCGCGGGCGCCCTTGCTGCAAGGCTGGGGTTTCCTCGTAACCTTGGGGTTTTGTCTTCACACTCCGAGCCCGCGGAGGGGCCGCCTCGCCTTGCGGCCAGCCCACACAGGAAGGGGGCTGCACGCGGCCCCCCAGGTCCCCGCGCTGTTTCCTGGCTCTGCTGAGAGGGGTGTGCTCTGCCCCGGCCGGGAGCCGGGCTGGTGGGAGCATCGTCCCCACCACCAGGGTTCGGGGCTCCATCTAGTCCGGAGTCAGCCAATGGCCTGGGTGGTGTTGCCCAGTGGGTAGAGCGCCGGCCTGTGGATGGAAGGGTCCCGGGTTCGATTCCCAGTCAAGGGCACATGCCCGGGTTGTGGGCTCGATCACCAGTAGTGGGGCGTGCAGGAGGCAGCTGATCCATGATTCTCTCTCATCATTGGTATTTCTCTCTCTCTCTCTCCCTCTCCCTTCCTCTCTGAGATCATTAAAAATATATTTTAAAAATAAGAAATAGAAGAGGAAGCACTGTGGTGTACGAGGAGGGTGGCACCCTCCCTCCTCTCTCTTGGAGGGGGTCCGGCTGCCAGGGACTTGATGTACGCCCTGTGACTAGCTTGCCATTTTATTAAAAATATATTTGTTTTGATTTCAGAGAGGAAAGGAGAGGGAGAGAGAAACATCATTGAGGAGAGAGAATCACGGACCGGCTGCCTCCTGCACGCCCCCCACTGGGGATCGAGCCCGCCACCCGGGCCTGGGCCCCTACCTGGAATGGAACCCTGACCTCCTGGTTCCTGGGTCAACGCTCAGCCGCTGAGCCACACCCGGCTGGTCCCGAGGATATATTTCCGTTGATTTTTATGGAGAGTTGAAGGGAGGGGGAGAGACAGAGAGAAACATCGATGTGAGAGAGACATGGATCGGTTGCCTCCTGCACGCACCCCGACCGGGGCCGGGGATCGACCCTGCAGCCGAGGTACATGGCCTTGACCGCAGTCGAACCCGGGACCCTTCAGTCCGCAGGTGGATGCTCTACCCATTGAGCCACACCAGCCAGGGCACTGTGATCTACTTCAGGCCAAAAGGGTTGCAGAACACCGAAGCCACCCACATGTTTTTGTGCCGTCTCCATTAAAACCTCGCCGCCCTGTGTATATGCAGGTGTTTGTGGAGAATATCAGTCTGTGCTTCGTGGGGGTCAGGGTCCCCGGGGCAGCTCTGAGTCGCCGACCTCTGTCTGCCTCTCTCCCAGAATTCCTGTACCCACACCCCAACGCTTCCGCCGAAAAAGCCCGAAACGTCCTTGCTATAGACGCAGCCCCCGGAGAGCTGGTGGGAGAACAGGCCGCCAGCCAGCCGGCCCCGGGGCCCCCCAACTCCATCAACTTCTCTCTGAAGCAGTGGGGCGCCGAGCTCAGGTGAGTCCCGGGAGGGGGGGCCGTTCGCCCAGGACCCCGAAAGCGGTGACGTGTGACGACACAGGTGACGATTGCATGTAGGAACGTTGTCACCTGTCATTTCGGGGTCTGGTTGTAGCGACTGTTTTTTCCCCTCCTGATGGATAGGATTTCCATTCCTCTTTGCACACCGGGTCATTTTTCTCCTGGGGGACCAGTGTCGTGGGTTTTTACCTTTCTGGGTGCTGGGCTTTTTTTTGTCTTTTATAAATATTCTTTTTTTTTTTTTACTTAAAAAAGAGAGGAAGGGAGAGGGAGAGAGAGAAACATCAAGGAGGAGAGAGGATCATGGATCGGCCGCCCCCTGCACGCCCCACATGGGGATCGAGCCCGCAACCCGGGCATGCGCCCTTGACCGGGAATGGAACCCTGACCTCCTGGTTCATAGGTCGACGCTCACCCACTGAGCCATACTGGCCGGGCCGGGTTATACCGTTTTTGCTAATGTGAATAGCGCCGAAATGATAGTTCTTGCTCGCGCTCCTTGTGCACATGTGGGAGGACGCGTCTGGGAAAGGCTGGGTCTTGGGTAGACACCTTCGTCTCACCTGCCTGTGGCTGGTGTCTCCACGGTGACAGCACGACTTGCGTCTCACAGCGTCTGATCCTGTCAGAGCCTCCAGCCCCGGGCGTGTGAGGTGACGTTGTGCGTGACGGTGTCTTTTCTCTAAATCACACGTTTCGTTTCCCCCGTAGAAACTCGATGTCTTCCTTCCGCCCGGGGAGGGGCCAGGACAGCCGGAAGAGCGTGTTCTACACCCACGAGGAGTGGGAGCTCCTGGACCCCAGCCCCAAGGACCTGGAGGAGTCGGCCGCGCAGGAGGAGAGACGGAGGCCGGCACCGGAGGGAAGCAGAGGTACGGGCGGGCTCCGCGGTCCCGGCCCCTCTCTCCGCCGCCGCCTGCCAGCCACAGGGTGGGGAGCCTGCCGAGCAGGGAGCCTGCATTCTCTTTATTTCTGGTTTATTTTCCTAAAAATATTTGTATTGATTTCAGAGAGGAAGGGAGGGGGAGAGAGAGAGAAACATCCATGATGAGAGAGAATCACTGATCGGATGCCTCCTGCACGCCCCCCACTGGGGATCGAGCCCACAACCCAGGCCTGTGCCCTTGACCAGAATCGAACCCAGGACCCTTCAGTCCACAGGCCAACGCTCTATCCATTGAGCAAACCAGCTAGGGCATCTTTTTAATTTTTTTAAAAATATTTTTATTGCTTTCAGAGAGGAAGGGAGTGGGGAGAGAGAAACATCAGTGATGGGAGAATCACTGATTGGCTGCCTCCTGCACGCCCCGCACTTGGGATCAAGCCCGCAACCCGGGCCTATGCCCTGACCGGGAATCAAACCCTGACCTCCTGGTTCATAGGTCGACGCTCAGCCACTGAGCCACGCCAGCCGGGCTCCTAAAAAAAATGTTCATTACAGCTTCATTGTTACACCTGAGGACAGTGAGAGACACTCTTTAACATTATCCCATTTCCCCAGTGTCCCTTCGATGGCTGCCTCCCTGGGCCTTTCAGACCAGGAGGCCACGGCCCCGCACACAGCACAGGCTCCTGTTGCCTGTCTCCTAACTTTATGTGAGTGAAATCTGTATAGCGCTGACCCCGTGTCTCCCTTTATATCTCAAATACATATGTGACTCCGTCTGCACTGAAATGTATCTGGGTCCCTCGGTATCCTTAAATACCAATCTCAGTGGATAGAGCATCGGCCTGCGGACCGAAGGGTCCCGGGTTCGATTCCCGGTCAGGGCACGTGCCCGGGTTACAGGCTCAATCCTCAGTGGGGGGCGTGCAGGAGGCAGCCGATCCATGGTTCTCTCTCATCACGGATGTTTATCTCCCTCCCTCTCCCTTCCTCTCTGAAATCAATAAAAATATTTTTAAAAAAATAAAAAGATAAGACGTGTGTTTACAACATTTACATATACTTGGAGGTTTTTTTGTATCTTTGACTAAGGGCAAGTTAGCGAAGGGTCCCTAGGACGTCTGAGTCCTGCACTGGGAACCTGCTATCTGGCTTCATGGGGTGCCCTGGGGGAGGGGACCCCGTGTCCCCAGGGTGCTGGGGGCCCTGGAGACACCCTGCCCCCCACTCCCATGCTCCCCGGGCCTGTGTCTCTGTTCTCGTTGGTCCTCAAAGGGCCCGAGATGGGAAACAGTTACATGAACACAGAGGTGGGGCTCTGAGCTTCAGAAAAGAGATTTTGGAAACTCAACTGGGTTTTCCCAAGAGCCGCCTGGTCGCGCGTCCCCGTGGGGGCCGTTTCTTCATCGCCTCCAGGCAGAGGTTGAGCAATCCAGCCCGAGTGCAATCCCTTCGCGAGGCCAAGGGGCGCGGCCTTGTCAGGAAGCGTCCGGCCGGGCTCTGCGGGACTCAGAGGCAGCTGCAGGGGGGGTGGGGGGGGGTGAGTGACAGCAGAGGCCGGGAAGCGGCCGGGTTTCCCGGAGCCTCCACACGCGCTCTGTCCCTGCAGGAGGCACCGGCTCCGGCTTCCTCTTCGATCTGGGCCGTGTTCCCTACAAAGGCAGGCGCCCCCTGAAGGACATGATCGGGTCGTACAAGAGCCGCCACAGCAGCGGGGACCCCGCCCCCGAGAGCACGCCGGGGGCGCCAGGGGGTGCCGGGGGCGCCAGCCGGACCTCGGACCCTGACGCGCAGCAGCAGGTGCAGAGCCAGCAGGAGGAGCTGGAGCGTCTGCGCAAGGAACTGTCGAGCCAGAAGGTAACTTACCCTCCCCCTCCCCCTCCCCCTCCCCCTCCTGAGTCCTGCCCTGGGAACCTGCTATCCCCCTCCTCCTCCTCCTCCTCCTCCCCCCCTCCTCCTCCGCCTACCCCCCTCCTCCCCCCTCCCCTGCCCCCCTCCTCCCCCTCCCCTCCTCCTCCCCTGCCCCCCTCCTCCCCCTCCCCCTCCTCCTCCCCCTCCCCCTCCCCTTCCTCCCCCTCTCCCTCCCCCTCCTCCTCCCCTGCCCCCGCCCCCTCCCCCTCCTCCCCCCCCTCCTCCTCCTCCTCCTGGCTCTTGGGCCTTCGTGGTCGGTGCTGCCTGGGCTGCGGCCCGAGGTCCAGCCCTGGGCCCGGCCCGGTTCAGACACACGTGGGTTTCCAGGGAGAGAGCAGACCCCGGGGGGCTCAGGGGAGGGGGTGTCTGCCCCTCAGGATCGAAGAGTCCTGAGCAGTTAAAAGACTTTAAAGTCCTGCCCGGCCGGCATGGCCCAGTGGTTCGCGTCGACCTAGGAACCAGGAGGTCAGGGTTCGATTCTGGTCAAGGGCACGTGCCCGGGTGGCGGGCTCCATCCCCAGTGTGGGGCGTGCAGGAGGCGGCCGGTCCGTGATTCTCATCACTGATGCTTCTCTCTCTCCCTCTCCCTTCCTCTCTGAAACCAATAAAAGTATATATACACACATGTATTTTTTTAAAGGACTCTCCGCATCCTATCCAACAGCACTTTCCTTCTTCTAATCAGGCCCTAATGACCCTAATTGCCCAGCGGCCAGCGTGACTCAGCGTCGGCCTCGCGGCTCTCACACGGCGTGCGTGCTCGCCGGAACCGCCGCTGGTCACAGCGTGTGCGCCGCGGCTTCTGTTTCCTGCGATTGTCTTTATGGAGGCGGTTTTATCTCCTCTTTATTTTTGAGATCCTTCCAGAGGAAGTTCGGTATTAACATGTTTCCAGGGCCCTGGCCGGTGTGGCTCAGTGGATAGAGTGTCGGCCTGCGGACCGAAGGGTCCCGGGTTCGATTCCGTCAAGGGCACGGACCTTGGCTGCAGACTCCTCCCTGGCCCCGGCCCTGCCCCTGGTGACAACCCATCGATGTGTCTCTCTCACATCGATGTTTCTCTCTGTCTCTCTCTCGCTTCCACCCTCTCTCAAAATCAGTGCAAGTGCTTACAGCTCTTTTTGAATTTGTCCGGCGGGTCTTCCGGCTTTTACTGGAAGGCCCTGAAGAAAAACTATATTAATAAAAGGGTAATATGTCAATTAGACCAGACATCTTCAGATGTCCTTTTGGACAAAGCCACGGTGGCACAGGCCAGGGCAGAGGCAGTTAGGGGCAATCAGGCCAGCAGGGGAGCAGTTAGGGGGCAATCAGGCCGGCAGGGGAGCAGTTAGGGGCGGTCAGGCCAGCAGGGGAGCAGTTAGGGGGTGATCAGGCCAGCAGGGGAGCAGTTAGGGGCGATCAGGCCGGCAGGCAGGCAGGTGAGCAGTTAGGAACCAGTGGTCCCAGATTGCGAGAGGGTTGTCTGACTGCCAGTTTATGGGGCCTAAACTAGCAGTCGGACATCCCCCAAGGGGTCCTGGATTGGAGAGGGTGCAGGCCGGGCTGAGGACAGCCCCCCCCCCCCCCATGCATGAATTTCATGCACCGGGCCTCCAGTAAAAAATAATAAAAAACAAAAATCAATGGACAAGTATCCTCAGGCGATCATTTTTCTCGGGTGAGGATTAAAAAAAAAATGTCCTGAGTCAGGTTTCCGCGTTTCCCCACCTTCCCGTGTGGCTCCGCGTGGACGTGTCACGTGTCTGCCCCCCCCCCCCCCCGTGGCTGCAGGAGCTGGTGCGGCTGCTGCAGCAGACGGTGCGCTCCTCGCAGTACGACAAGTACTTCGCCGGCAGCCGGCTGTGCGACGGGCCCCCCCAGGACACGCTGGCGCTGCTGCACCAGAAGGACGACCAGATCCTGGGCCTGACCCACCAGCTGGACCGGCTGGCGCTGGAGAAGGAGAGCCTGCAGCAGGAGGTGCGCACGCTGAAGGCCAAGGTGGGCGAGCTCAGCGAGCAGCTGGGCATGCTCATGGAGACCATCCAGGCCAAGGATGAGGTCATCATCAAGCTGTCGCGGCAGCTCAGCGAGAGCGAGGGCCGCGCCGCCTCCCCCACCCCGGCGCCCGGCTCCCCCGCCGCCGCCAGCCCGGCCAGCAGGGACCAGCAGGAGCTGGACAGGCTCAAGGTGAGGAGTCCCCAGCCCCTCCCGGTCTCTGTGTGGTGACGTCCCTCGAGGCTCCTGGCTCAGCGAGACTGCCGTTGCTCCGGCCCTTTCGGCCTCCTCCCCTGCCGGCTTCCAGGCCGAGGGGCCTGGCTTATGCACCCTGAGGGCGTCACCCTCCCAGGGCACCTACGGAGGCTGCAGGGTGCCCCCTCTGCGGCCGGTTCAGGACAGTCACCACCGTGACATAAATTCCTTCCCTGTCTCCGTCTCCTTCCTCAGCGCACTGGGCCCTGCCTGCCTGCGCTGCCCCGGGGAGGGGGGCGAGATTAACCCCAAAATGCCTGGTCATCAGCTTTCAGTTCCTCAGGACTCACTCTAACATGGCAGGGCTGTCGGGTGAGGCAGCAAAATAGAAACGGGACAGCCTGGCCGGCGGGGCTCAGGGTTTGAGCGTCGACCTACAAACCAGGAGGTCCTGGGTTCAATTCCCAGTCAGGGCACAGGCCCGGGGTGTGGGCTCCATCCCCAGTGGGGGGCGTGCGGGAGGCAGCTGATCCGTGATTCTCTCTCATCATGGATGTTTCTCTCTCCCTCTCCCTCTCCCTTCCTCTCTGACATCAATACAAATATACTTTGAAAAAATAACATTTGAAAAATATATTCATGGCGTGGAACAATTAGTCCGCATTCAACCAACGTGAACTGATGTGTTTTTTGTTTTCTTGCTTTTCCTTTTCGAACAGGACAACCTGCAGGGGTACAAGACCCAGAACAAATTCCTCAATAAGGAAATCTTGGAGCTCTCGGCGCTGCGGAGAAATGCGGAGAGGAGGGAGAGGGACCTGATGGCCAAGGTGGGCTCGGGGTGGGGGTGCTCGCCTCACCTGGTGGGGGTGCAGCTTGGAAGCCATTTGGAAATGGACTCGTTTGGCCCTGGCTGGTGTGCTCAGTGGGTAGAGCGTCGGCCTGCGGACTGAAGGGTCCCGGGTTTGATTCCGGCCAAGGGCACAGGCCCGGGTTGTGGGCTCGATCCCCAGTGGGGGGCGTGCAGGAGGCAACCGATCCGTGATTCTCTCTCATCATGGATGTCTCTCTCTCCCGCTCCCTTCCTCTCTCAGATCAATGAACATATATTTAAAAAGAAAGAAAGAAATGGACTCGTTGGGAAACCAGTTCAGGGCGCAGGCTGGAGGGACGTGGTCGCTGGCACCAGAATGTAGTTAAAACCCACAGGGTGCGGACGCCGCGTGCTGCGTCGCTGTCCGGGGTGAGGCAGGCAGTAGAGATTGCAGGCCAGGTAACTGCAATTCCGAGCCCCGAATTAAAGCTATTTGCTTTTTTTTCCTTTAAGTCCTCACCTGAGGATGTTTTCCTCTTTGCTTTCTTTTAGAGAGAGTGAGGGGAAGGGATTTTGTTTTTAGTGTCTCCGGCTCGCTTCCTGGTAGTTCAGGGAAAGGGGAGGAGGGAGAGAGAGAGAGAGAGAGAGAGAGAGAGAGAGAGAGAGAGAGAGAGAGAAGCATCGATGTGAGAGAGACACATCGACGGGTTGCCTCCCACACAGGCCCCGGCTGGGGCCAGGGAAGGGACCTGCGACCAGGTACATGCCCTTGACCGGGAATCAAGTCCACGTTCCCTCGCTGCTGGGGCTGCCCTCTAACCACTGAGCAACCGGCCTGGGCAGGGTCATTTGCATTTTTTAAAATACATTTTTATTGATGTCAGAGAGGAAGGGAGAGGGAGAGAGAAAGAGACATCGATGATGAGAGAGAATCCTGGATCGGCTGCCTCCTGCACGCCCCACTCTGGGGATGGAGCCCACAACCCGGGCCTGTGCCCTGACCGGGAATCAGGAATCGAACCAGTGCCCTCCTGGCTCACAGGCGGACACCCAGCCACTGAGCCACGCTGGCTGGGCCGGGGGTGTATTTGATTCCCCTGACAAGGTGGCCGTTGGGAGCCGGTCCTGGGTCGCTGTCCTTAGAATGTGTCGATGGCACATGGGGAAGCCGTGCGTGGCCCGTGTACCAACTGGCACCCGGCGTGGCCCCCGCCACGGCATGTGGCCTGGTTCTCGCGCCGCTTGCACCTGTCCGGCACCGACACTGGTGTGGCATCCAGACGCCTCCCGTGCCAGCCCCGGGGGGCAGGGAGCCCGTGGCCGGCCAGGCGCCCAGGACAGGTGCCCGGGGCGTAAATCAGCGTCTCGCCACGGGCCCCGCTTCTCCGGCTCACTTCCCGGGGCCTGGCATTCCCGGTCGCCGCGGAGCCCGAGCCCGCTCTCCGTCCTGTCCCTTCCGTGGGGTCACCACCCTCTCCCCCCGCAGTACGCGAGCCTGGAGGCCAAGCTGTGCCAGGTGGAGAGCAAGTACCTTATCCTCCTGCAAGAGATGCAGGCGCCCGTGTGCGCCGAGGAGCAGGGGCCCGCCCGCGAGGTCATCGCCCAGCTGCTGGCCGACGCGCTGCAGGTCGAGGGCCCGGAGCAGCCCGAGCAGGCGCTGGTGAAGCCGCGTCTCGTCAGGTCAGGGGACCCGCGGCTGGTGGGGGCGGCCGGGGGGAGGGGGAGGGACAGCGGCGGATTCACGGGCTCCCCGGGACCCTGCCTCTCATCGGCTGCCCGAGCCGAGCCCGTCCTGACCTCAGAGCGTCCGCAGCCTCATTGCTCCTGGCCTCGGAGGAGGCGGGCCTGAGCTCTGCCTGCTCGCCTGTCCCAGGCGCTTGTGTGAGCTTACACGCTCGGCACAGAGCGTGCGGGCCTCCGTGGGTGCCCTGCGGCTGCCCTCGCACGCGGTCACGCGCCTGCAGAGCCGGAGAAGTGGCTCCTCACTCAGTGGGAATGCCTGGTTTTGTCTCCGAGGGCCAGGCGCACCTGTGCTCACGTCCAGCTTCCCTTTTCGGACCAGGGAAGGGAAGCCTTTTTTAAATCCTCTTCGAGAATATTTTTCCATTGATTTTTATTTATTTATTTTCTAAAAATATATTTTATTGATTTTTTACAGAGAGGAAGGGAGAGGGATAGAGAGTTAGAAACATCGATGAGAGAGAAGCATCGATCAGTTGCCTCCTGCACACCCACCACTGGGGATGTGCGCGCAACCAAGGTACATGCCCTTGGCCAGAATTGAACCTGGGACCCCTCAGTCCACAGGCCGACGCGCTATCCACCGAGCCACACCGGTTAGGGTTCCATTGATTTTTAGAGAAAGTAAAAAAGAGGGAGAGGCAGAGAGAAACATCGATGTGAGAGGGACACATCGATGGGTTGCCTCCTGCACGCGCCCAGACGAGGGCCCGGTCAGGGAGGAGCCTGCAACATAGGTCCATACCCTTGACGGGAATCGAACCCGGGACCCTTTGGTCCGCAGGCCAATGCTCTATCCGCTGAGCCACACCGGCCGGGCCCTTCCTGGCCTCTTTGCCGAGACCACGCCGCTCACTGTCGCCTCGTGCTCCCTCCGCAGCGAGTACGACATCTACGGGTTCAGGACGGTCCCCGAGGACGACGAGGAGGAACGGCTGGTGGCCAAGGTCCGGGCGCTGGACCTGAGGAGCCTGTCCCTGGCCGAGAACCAGGAGGTGTCCACGGGGGTCAAGTGGGAGAACTACCTGGCGGGCACGATGACGCGGGAGATGGCGCGCTCGCCGGAGCTGAAGAGCCTGATCCGGGCGGGCATCCCGCACGAGCACCGGTCCAAGGTGTGGCGCTGGTGCGTGGACCTGCACACGCGCAAGCTCCGCGAGGCCGCGGCGCCCGGCTACTTCGCGGCCCTGCTGCGGGCGGCGCTGGAGAAGCAGAACCCCGCCTCCCAGCAGATCGAGCTGGACCTGCTGCGCACGCTGCCCCACAACCGGCACTACGCCGGCCCCGCCTCCGAGGGCATCCAGCAGCTGCGCCACGTGCTGCTCGCCTTCTCCTGGCGTAACCCCGACATTGGCTACTGCCAGGGCCTGAACAGGTGGGTGCCCCCCGGTGCGTCCGCCCGCAGGGCCGTCCGCCGGCCTCAGGCCCTGCCCCCAGCGCCCTCCTGCTCAGCCAAAAAGAGCCCATTAAGATCTATACTAATAACAGGGTAATATGTTCATTAGACCAGACATCTTCCAGACGTCCTTCCGGACAGAGCCACGGTGGTGGGGGCCGAGGCAGAGGCATTAGGGGGCGATCAGGCCAGCAGGGGACTAGTTAGGGGGCGATCAGGAAGACAGGCAGGTGAGCAGTTAGGAGCAAGCGGTCCCGGATTGCGAGAGGGATGTCCGACTGCCAGGATCGGGCCTAAACCGGCAGTAGGACATCCCCCAAGGGGTCCTGGATTGGAGAGGGTGCAGGCCAGGCTGAGGGACCCCCCCCCCGCCCCCATGCATGAATTTCATGCACTGGGCCTCTAATATGTATATATATGTGTGTGTGTGTGTGTGTATATGTATGTATATATATATATATATCTATATATATCTCCCAACTGGTGTGGCTCAGTGGATAGAGCATCGGCCTGCAGACTGAAGGGTTTCAGGTTCGATTCCTGGTCAGGGCTCATGCCTGGGTTGTGGGCTCGATCCCAGTGTGGGGCGTGCAGGAGGCAGCCAATCCATGGTTCTCTCTCATCATTGATGTTTCTCTCTCTCCCTCTTTTTTCCTCTATATTGGCTGGTTGAGCGCCATCCTGTGCACCAATCGGTCGCTGGTTTGATTCCCGGTCAGGGCACGTACCCAGCTTGCGGGTACATATAGGAGGCAACCTAGCAATGTTTCTCTCATTGATGTTTCTTTCTCTTTACTTTTCCCTTCCCTTTTCTCTCAAAAAAATCAATAAAAATATTTTATTTTTTTAAAATATACTTTTATTGATTTTAGAGAGAAGAAGAGAGAGGGAGAGAGAGACAGAAACATCCATGATGAGAGAGAATCATCGATCAGCCGCTTCCTGCACGCCCCCCTTACTGGGGATGGAGCCTGCAACCCGGCATGTGCCCTGGCCGGGAATTGAACCCTGACCTCCTGGTTCATAGGTTGACGCTTAACCCCTGAGCCAGGCTGGCGGGGCAATACAACATTTTTTTAAAAGAAACATATTAAAACACAGCGACAAACGAAGGAAGTTCAGCTTTTTGCCTCTGAAACTTTGGGAAACGCCTTGCTGTTGCTCAGAGAATGAGACTCGGCGGGGGCCGGCGGGGACAGCCTGGGTGGGGGGCCGGTCGGCGCTCACCTGTCCCCCGGGTGCCTGCAGGCTGGTGGCCGTGGCCCTGCTGTACCTGGAGCAGGAGGACGCCTTCTGGTGCCTGGTCGCCATCGTGGAGGTGTTCATGCCGCGAGATTACTACACCAAGACGCTCCTGGGCTCCCAGGTGCGACCCACACACTGTGTCCCCGGCAGCGCGGGGGGCGGAGCAGCCATGCGCCCCACACGCTATGTCCCCCGGCAGCGCGGGGGGCGGAGCAGCCATGTGCCCCACACGCTGTGTCCCCCGGCAGCGCGGGGGGGGGGGGGGGGGCGGGCGGAGCAGCCATGCGCCCCACACGCTGTGTCCCCCGGCAGCGCGGGGGGGGGGGGGGGGGGGGGCGGGCGGAGCAGCCATGCGCCCCACACGCTGTGTCCCCCGGCAGCGCGGGGGGTACGGAGCAGCCATGCGCCCCAAATGCAGCCCCAGTGCAGGCCTCCGGGGCGAGGACGGGGAGGCCCTGGGATAGGGGCTGGGCTCCCTCAGCGCCTGGCTGGCAGGAGGCCTGCTGTTCACGTCCCAGCTCAGCCCCCGGTGCCCTCGGCCAGGCCGCCGGGAGCCCGTGTGCCCGCTGGGCTTCTCCCGGAGGCTGGGCCGGGCCGGGGTGCATGTGCCGCAGGCTCCGAGGGGACACCTGGGAGGGACCACGGGGAGGACCCCAGACCCAGTACAGGAAGGAGGCGGGGGTGGGAGGCCCCCGACTGCCCTGCGGTTCTAAGGAAGTTGCGGCCAGGCCGCGGGGCGTGCTAGCCCGGGTCCCCCGTCAGAGGTGCGCGTCTCCGGGGACAGGCGGTGTGTGTCCCGCCGTGCGGGCAGCAGAGGCCACGATGGACTCCGGGCACTGCCGGGCCGTCGGCCCCGCCCACAGCGCAGGGATCTCTGGCGTGGACGTGCTGAGGCCTGCACGCTCCTTGGGGGGTCGGGTGTGTGGCCCCGTGAGCAGGGCCCCCGTATCCACACGAGGTTGGGCAGCCGACTGTCCTGCGTTCACGGGCCTGTTGGGCAGGGAGTGGCCTCAGGCCTGCGGAGAGGGTGCTGCATGGCACCTGCCGTCTGCCCGGGGCCCCGCCCCTGCGCTCCGGGGCAGGGTCGGCACGGTGGGCCCCCACCACCACCCTCACCCCCACCCCCGGCCTCTGCCCCCAGGTGGACCAGCGGGTGTTCCGGGACCTGATGAGCGAGAAGCTGCCGCGGCTGCACGCGCACCTGGAGCAGCACAAGGTGGACTACACGCTCATCACCTTCAACTGGTTCCTGGTCGTGTTCGTGGACAGCGTGGTCAGCGACGTCCTCTTCAAGATCTGGGACTCCTTCCTGTACGAGGGGCCCAAGGTGGGGCTGCGGGCGTGGGCAGTGGGCGGGGTGCCCGCGGGGCGTGTGGGCAGTGGGCAGTGGGCGGGGTGCCCGCGGGGCGTGTGGGCAGTGGGCGGGGTGTAAGTGGGGCGTGTGGGCAGTGGGCGGGGTGCCCGCGGGGCGTGTGGGCAGTGGGGCGGGGTGCCCGCGGGGCGTGTGGGCAGTGGGCGGGGTGCCGCTGGGCGTGTGGGCAGTGGGCGTGGTGCCCGCGGGGCGTGTGGGCAGTGGGCGGGGTGCCCGCGGGGCGTGTGGGCAGTGGGGCGGGGTGCCCGCGGGGCGTGTGGGCAGTGGGCGGGGTGTCCGCGGGGCGTGTGGGCAGGGTGTCCGTGGGCGGGTGGGCAGTGGCCGCAGCAGTGGCCGGCTCACCTGGGCCAGAGCCATCCGGCGGCCGGCGTGCCCCGGGAGGCGGCCTGGGGTTGCAGGATAAGACAGTCATTTGCTCGTTCGTCAGGAACATGGACACTCAGACCTGCAGGGGCCTTGATGCTTCCGAGGCTGGGCCCGCCCTCTGTCCCGGGCGGGGCGTTGCCCCCATTGTGTGGATGGGAAGGTAGAGCCCAGAGGTCGCTCCGCGGAGGGTCAGGGGCAAACGCGGGGCCAACTTCAGAGCCTCATGCCCACAGGCTCCCGGCCGGGCTGTGGAGTGTGTGTGAAAAGTCGGGTTCTAGGTGAGCCCACCATACAAACGCTCAGATGGTGCAGCTGAGAGGACGCGGTGGAGAGGCCTGTGACCGAAGGAGTGGGGGCGGGAGGCGGGCGGAGGGGTGAGGGTGTGTGGTGGGGAGGAGGGCTCCGCCCCAACTCCCAGTCTCTCTTTTTTTACATGTTTTTTATCGACTTCAGAGAGGGAGAGAGAAACATCCATGATGAAAGAGAATCATGGATCCGCTGCCTCCTGCACGCCCCGCACTGGGGATGGAGCCCGCAACCCGGGCCTGTGCCCTTGACCGGAATCGAACCCGGGACCCTTCAGTCCACAGGTCGACGCTCTACCCACTGAGCCACACCGGCCAGGGCTCCAATGAGAATTTTCATAAAGAAAAAAAAGGGGCCCCCTTCTCGGTGGGAACACTCCCCAGTGGATGGCTGCCCCAGGCCCAGGAGCCTATCTTCCCAGAGCCTGTCCCCCCAGGAGCCTGCACCGCCCCCCAAACCTGCCGCCCGCAGCCTGTACCCCCCAGAAGCCTGTCGTTCCCCACCCCCCCCCAGCCCGGCGCTGCTCTGCGTACAGACCCCGCCCCTCCCGCAGGTCATCTTCCGTTTCGCCCTCGCTCTTTTCAAATACAAGGAGGAGGAGATCCTGAAACTGCAAGACTCCATGTCCATCTTCAAGTACCTCCGCTACTTCACCCGCACGATCCTCGACGCCCGGTGAGTCCCCGGGACCCTGCCCACCCCTCCGCTTAGAGCGCGGCCTGGCCTCCCCGTCCGGGGCGCAGGCCCCCAGGAGCTGCCGGGAAAGATGCTGTATCCACCCCCTTCCGTCCCACACTCGCTCGGCCTCCACAGCGGGGGCGGGGTGACGGGCCTGGGCTGAGTGTGCAGGACGGGCGGGCCGGCATCAAGGGTGACAGAGGAGGAGCAGCCTTGTTTGTGCAGAACTTTGGGGGGCGACGGGGGAGCTGGGCTGGGGAGGGGCAGCCCAGGAGCTGGAACAGACGTGGAACAGCGTGCGGGGACTGTGTCCGTGTGCAGGGACAGGTCGGGGCGCAGAGCGGGGCGTCACAGCGCCAGGCCTCCCCGCCGACGCCCAGCCTGTGTCCCCCCAGGAAGCTCATCGGCATCGCCTTCGGGGACCTGAACCCGTTCCCCCTGCGCCAGATCCGCAACCGGCGGGCCTACCACCTGGAGAAGGTGCGGCTGGAGCTGACGGAGCTGGAGGCCATCCGCGAGGACTTCCTCCGCGAGCGGGACGCCAGCCCCGACAAGGGCGCGCTGGTCAGCGACGAGGAGGACACCTGAGCGCGCCCGTGGCCCCGCTCCGGGCGCCCCTGTTTACAGCCTCTTCCCGCCAAGCGCTCAGCCCCACGCATCCCGGCCCGGGCCCGACCGACCGACGGACCGACGGGTGCAGGGCCGGGCCTACCGGTCCATCTGCTCCTCTCAGGGGCCTGTTTACAGTGCGGTTAGCGTGTGGGGTCTGCGCCCCGAGAACGCCCCCGGGGGGGGGGCACCTCCCGTGCTGGGCACGGGGCTCACAGACACCCCCCCACCCCCCGCTGGAGCGTGGCCGCCTCCGTGGCCTGAGGTTGAGAAGCAGCCTGTAGGGACCTGACAGCCTGCGGTGGCTCCCACGGCCCGGGGGGTCCCCTGCATCACCCCACGCACCCCGGCTCCTCCCCGGTGTCCGCAGGCGCCCCGAGTCCTGAGGACGCTCCGTGCGGGATTCCGGGGGGACTGGCCCCCGTCCTGCAGGGCAGGCCACCCCACAGCCTCTGTCGGGGGGCTGGGGCGCAGCCCCTGAGCGAGGCCTGGGCACCCCGAGCCCCGGGGAGGCGTTTGCACGGGGAAGGCGGCCGGGTCTCCGGGTCTCCGTGCTCCGCGCGCTGAGCAGACGGAGGGGAGCGCGGCCATGGCGACCCGTTTCCCGGCGGTTCACGCCCCGGAGCCGCGCACTCAGACCAGGGCGGCTGGTGCGGTTTGGAGGCGCCTTCACTCTGGTTGGGGGCGCGTGTGGGAGGGTCCCCCCTCCCCAACCCCCCACCCCCACCCCCCGCAGCCATCGGGGCCGGGCCCTCCCTGTGCGGAGGGAGCTGGTCTCCCTTCACCCAACGCCATCGCCTCCCTTCCGGGGCGGCCGTGCGTTTTCCATCGTCCGCGTCGCTGGGAGCAGGGGTTCGAGGCCCGGCTTCCCCGGGAGCTGCCCGGCGGGGCCTGTGGGGGGGCCTCCCTGCTCCCTGAGCGCCCCCCCCCCCCAGGCTGGGCCTGGCTCCCTGGGAATCAGCTCCTTCGGTCCGTTTGGAAGGACCTGAGCCGGACCGGGCCGCACGGGGCGGGACCTCCGCGCTCAGGGGCCGGGCAGGGGCGGGGGCGCCACGCGGTGGGAAGGGCTGGAGCTCCGGGGGGGGGGGGGGGGGGGGGGCGGCCCTGACTCCAGACCGGGGACCCCGCGGCGCGGACTCGTGCCCCCAGGATTCCGGGGTCCGGCCCCGCTGTTTGAGCCAACGCTTCCCCCTCCGGCCGCCGGGCCCCGGGCCGGGGGCCCCCATCAGCCGCGGGGACGCCCGCTCCCCTGGCGGCCTCTGCGCTCCCGGGGGTGGAGCTTGTTCATACTTTTGTACGTTTCACTACAGTCTCTATTTTTATAGCCTGTTTTTACCGAGGTTTCCAGATCGCGCACATCTATTTTGTATACAAACCGAGTTCACTTGTCCACGACGCCGCCCCCGAGGGTGTGGGACCCCGAGCCGCGGGGCCGCCTCTGACCTCCAGCCCTGACCCTCCCGACCTTCACCCCCAGGTGCTGCCCAGCTGCCCGTCGGCCGCCAAGACCGGGGTCGCCGGGGCGGTTCTGGTTCCACCTGCCTGGTATCGACATAGGAAGTGCCCAGGGCACGTGGCCGTCCATGTTCTTTGTGACAAAATGTTTGTCTTGCACAATTTCCCGCCCCGGGCGCTCGGGGCCCCTGGGCATACGGGGCCTCTGGGTGTGGGGGGCGGGGGGGCCTGACCTTTGGTGTCCCCGCCGCCGCCGCCGCCATGGTCACCATCACGTCCAACTTTGCATGGGTTGTCATATTAAAGGGAGAAATAAACTAATTTGTGTAACATTCTGACGTGACATCCAGTGACGGTCCCTTGTGTGGGGCTGAGCCCCGGGGCGGGGCTGTGGGGCCTTGCAGGGGGTGTTTCGGGGTCCCTGCCCTGAGCTGCTCTTTGGAGGGGACGTGGGGACAGGACGCCTTGGGGGGGGGGGCAGCCCTGCGAGGCGCTGTGAGCCGTCGCCGAGCTGCGGACGAGGGCGGGAGCCATGCGGGCTTCAGCCGGGAGCCAGGAGCTGGGCGGCCCCCCAAGTGGGTGGCAGGCACCCCCCACCCCCCGTCGGCGCCAGGCCTGCCTGAGTCACGGGCTGTTTGCCTCCAGCCGGGAGGACAGCTCAGGCCCAGCTGACCAGGGGACGTCACCCCCCCCACCCCCACCCCCACCCCCACCATCGGAAAAACACACAAGAGTGATGAAGACCCTTTTTTTTTCATCGCTGGGGGGAGGGACAGCTGAAGGGGGCGCTGATGCCGCAGCCTGGGGGGTTCCTGTGGTCCCCCAGCGCCCGCAGGGGCTGAGCTGGGGCTGGGAGACCCCACCCCCCTCTCGCCGCCTCTGTGGGCTGGGAGCCCCCAGCCCAGGCCCTGCTCCCTGGCCAGGTGCCTGGACAGCAGATGGTGTGGAAGCTGGCCTGGCTCAGGGGTTGAGCACCCACCTATGAACCAGGAGGTCAGGGCACAGGCCCGGGTTGCAGGCTGGACCCCCAGTGTGGGGCGTGCAGGAGGCAGCCGATCCATGATTCTCTCTCATCATGGATGTGTCTCTCTCTCCTCGCCTCCTCTCTGAAATCAATAAAAATATTTTTTATTATATTTTTATAGCGAAGGTGGAAATGTATTGAGAAACAAGCAAAGACTCCCACTTGGGGAAGGGAATAGTCCCTAACCGTTTTTGTAAAGGCCTGCACACGGGCGTGCTGAGCTGAGAGGCAGAGCAGGGCACACGCGTGTGCTGAGCTGAGAGGCAGAGCAGGGCACACGCGTGTGCTGAGCTGAGAGGCAGAGCAGGGCACGCGTGTGCTGAGCTGAGAGGCAGAGCAGGGCACGCATGTGCAGTTTCCATTTTCCCAGCTCGGGAGCATGTGGATCTGTGCCCCCCCCCGAACCCAGAACCCACAGAGCGAACAGCTCGGTCCCGGAGCCAAAGTCCGGCCAATCAGTACTAACAGCCACTCATGGGATTTGGGGGAGGGGGGAACAGCAAGTGCCAACAGCTGAGCAGGAAGTGCGGGGGGTGGTTACCAGAGCCTCCTGCCCCCCCCCCCCCCAATAAGTTACCACGACCATCTGGATGCCAGGGATCTATCCAGGCTCCTAGCAAAGTCAACGACTCCATTGTCCACTTCCTGCTGACCAATGTCTTTAAAAAGTAGGTCAATGGTCCACAGAACTTTCTCCTTTCCCTCCACGGGGCTAATGATGCCTTGTGGGTCCTTTCGCTCTTCGGTGGGTGTGGCAGTCTTTAAGTTATTAGGTCCCCCCCCCTTTTTGGTCTTGTTTTTCTAAGTTATTAGTTTTTTTAAAAATATCTTTTATTGATTTTTTACAGAGAGGAAGGGAGAGGGATAGAGAGTTAGAAACATCGATGGGAGAGAAACATTCAGCAGCTGCCTCCTGCACACTCCCCACTGGGGATGTGCCCGCAACCCAGGTACATGCCTTTGACCTCAATCGAACCCAGGACCCTTCAGTCCTCAGGCCGACGCTCTATCCACTGAGCCACACAGGTTAGGGCAACGTTATTAGTTTTTAAAATCGGCACTTTTTCATGGAAACAACTTGACCAAAAATCTGTCTTAGAATTTGAGACCCATTAAAACAAATTTTCTTTATTTTAAAAAGCAGGTAAATGCTTCCCCCCTGTGGACACTCAGAGGTATTGCGAGCGGCACAACAGAAACCCATTGTCCATTTTCCCACGCTCGGCATTTTTTTAAAGCAGGTGAGTGCTGCCCCCGTGTGGGCATTCGGCGGTGTTGCAGGCAGCGGAATAGAAACAATAGGGACAGTTCTCTGTATCCGGTTAGGAACCAGCTGTGTCCGGCGTCCCTTCCACACCGGCCTGAACCTACAGGTTCACCGAGGTCGGACTCAGCGGAGCTACTGCTGCATCGCCAGGCCCTCCCGTAATGATCCGGTTTAGAGCCAGGATTTTAATATATATATATTTTAAATATATTTTATTGATTGTTTACAGAGAGGAAGACAGAGGGATAGAGAGTTAGAAACATCGATGAGAGAGGAACATCGATTAGCTGCTTCCTGCACACCCCCTACTGGGGATGTGCCCGCAACCAAGGTACATGCCCTTGGCCAGAATCGAACCTGGGACCCTTCAGTCCGCAGGCCGACGCTCTATCCACTGAGCCACACCGGTTAGAGCTTAATCTATATTTTTTATTGATTTCAGAGAGAAAAGGAGAGAGGGAGAAACATCAATGATGAGAATCATGGATCAGTTGCTTCCCGCACGCTTCCCACTGGGGATCGTGCCCATATCCTGGGCATGTGCCTTTGAATGGAATCGAACCCGAAACCTTTGAGTCAAACCAGCTAGGGCTAGAGCCAGGATTTTAAAACCAATGTGCCGGGAGCCGGTCCATCCTTGCTGTTTCAAGGGACCTGGCATATATGGCATACTGTTCTTAATATGTTTGCTCACCTTCTTGGCACTATGTGTTTTAACCAAGGTCACCTCTCTGAGAAAGGTTGTTTCCCCAGGTAGGGATTTTCCCCTGATGTTAGGGAGGGAATAAAACCCCTTAACTAAGTGCCAGGCGGGTAATTAATCACTTTAACTACGAACAATCATGCTTAAGCTACATAATCTTTACTCCCTGGAATGGAGATAAGAAACGCCCTAACCTTTGGAATAGAGATTGATAGGATTGAATCAACTGGTATAAATACAGATGTAACAAGACAACAGGACACAGAACCTAGACACAGAACCTACACAGAACCTAGAGACAGAAGAACTTCGCTGGAGAGAACATGGCAAAAGATCCTGGACAGAAACTGGAGACAGAACCTAGAGACAGAACCTAGCGAGAGAACCTGGATAGAACATGGCAAGAGAACCTGGTGACTAAACCTGGCTGGAGAACATGGACACAGAACCTGGCTGGAGATCCTAACCAGAACTTCGCTGGAGATCCTGACCAGAACTTGGCTAGAGATCCTGGCTAGGCTGCTGATCAGCTGAACGCTGTCTCCGTGTCATTCCTTCTTCGCCGACTCCGTCCACACCTTTGGGGACCCCTGGACCCGCTGGGGCTGGATCCCAGCACCAATGCATAAGAGGGTTCTTGGAAATAAAACTTATTTTTATATGTTTTTATTAATTTTTTTTTTTTTTTTTTTTTTTTTAGAGAAAAAGGAAGGGAGAGGGACAGAGTGATAGAAACATCAATGAGAGAGGAATTTCTTCGATCGGCTGCCTCCGGCCCACCCCTCCATGACCGGGATCAAGCCAGCAACAGGGCAGGTGACCTTCTGCTTTCTGAGTAGATGCTCAGCCACTGAGTGATACCAGCCGGGCTTAGCAGGAAACTATTTTATACTGTCACTCAAAAATGACAAACTAGCCCTGACCAGTGTGGCTCAGTGGATAGAGCGTCAGCCTGCAGACTGAAGGGTCCCGGGTTCGATTCTGGTCAAGGGCATGTACCTTGGTTGCGGGCACATCCCCAGTGGGGGGTGTGCAGGAGGCAGCTGATCGATGTTTCTCTCTCATCGATGTTTCTAACTATCCCTCTCCCTCCCTCTCTGTAAAAAAATCAATAAAATCTATATTTTTAAAAAATGACAAACTAGTTTCTGAAGACTTCCTGAAAACAACTTGACCAGCAAAATCAGCCACTAACTTGTCCATTGACCAGTGCTGCCACCGTGTGGACACGGGTGGTATTGCAGGGGCAGAAAAGAAAAAAGACTGTTGGCCTGTCCCGATTTGGCTCAGTGGATAGAGTGTCGGCCTGCAGACTGAAGGGTCCCGGGTTCGATACCGGCCAAGGGCATGTACCTGGGTTGCGGGCACATCCCCAGTGGGGGGCGTGCAGGAGGCAGCCGATCAATGCTTCTCTCTCATCGATGTTTCTAACTCTCTACCCCTCTCCCTTCCTCTCTGTAAAAAATCATTAAAAATATATTTTTTAAAAAGATATTTGCTTTTCTTTTTGAAATTGTCGACATCATTCTTTTTTATTTTTTTATTTTCTTCCCTTTGTTTGAATTCCCCCAGGAAATGGTATAAGGGACGCTGGTTGATAAACCATGAATCAGCC